ATATATATATATATGTAGTGGTGGCCAAAATGTTCAGAACACTTCACCAGCTAAAAAATAATGTTTATAATCATTTTAATGATATATAATGTTTCCATTAGATGACCAGGCGTCCAGCAGAAAGAAACTTTCATATGAGGAGGCTGTTGAGAAAGCAGGTTAAATCATATTTATTTTACCTAAATAATTTGTCCAGCATTTAGTTTCATATGTGTGTCCAGATGCAATGGTCAGCGATCCTCATGTTTCTGTCTGTCTGCAGGGTTTGGGCTCTTCCACTGGCTGCTGTTGGCCGTCTGCGGCTGGGCGAACGCCAGCGATGCTGTGGAGATCCTGTGTGTGTCGTTCCTCCTGCCCACGGCACGCTGTGACCTCCTGCTGACCTCGGCCGACATGGGGCTCCTCACTGCCAGCATATTCCTTGGTTATTATCTGTGCTGCTTTCTGTTTTATTTGATTTTCTACCCAAATATCTGATCATGTTGCATTTTAAAAACAGAAAATTAGGCATTTGGGATTCATTCATGTTGAGAAAACGGATACGGCAAGATTTTGCAATCTTAAACTGCATGTCAAACAAGGACCATCATACATTAACTTCTCATCAAATCAGGTCAAAAATGCAGTTTGTTCCCTATTTGGTTGCCTTATCACGTGTCTGAAAACTGCAGAGTCATGCTTTTTACAAGAAATACATAACTGACCCAGTGATTAAAACTGCTGACATAACCATGTGATTTGACTATCCTGCTGCTCAGTAAGATATACGGTGTCAAACGGCTGTTTCCTTCGACAGGGATGATGGTGGGTGGTTATGTTTGGGGGTATCTGGCTGATCGCAGAGGAAGGCGGAGCGTTCTGGTCGTCTCTCTGGCAGTGAATGGCACATTTGGGGCGGTGGCCAGTTTGGCCCCGAGTTTCTGGCTCTTTTTGCTCCTGCGGTTCTTCAGTGGAGTCGGGTAACCACATGCCAAAAGAGTTTTTACATACACAGAGACATTCTGGAGGTTTCGATAGAAATTATACAGACAGAATCGCGACTCATTTGACTAGAATCACATGAATGCATCTGTGTCTCACTCTCAGGGTCGGCGGCTCCATTCCTGTCATCTTCTCCTATTTTTCTGAGTTTCAGCCGCGTTTGAGGAGGGGGGCTATGATCAGCGCTCTAGCCACCTTCTGGATGGCTGGAAATATTTTAGCAGCAGGTAAAACCATCATCCTCTGAGCTAAGAGAGGAGTGTCTCTAAAATACTGCCTAGAAGGTTGTACTAATAATTTTTCCCTGTTTTAATATTGAAACATGAGCAGGAAATAACACAATCAAAACATCTAGATATTTGCTCATATATGAACAATAATTAAATTAAAGACAACAATACATAGCCAATAATGTATATACAGTATGAATAAAAAATATATAAACATAAAATAAAAAAATGCACAAGACAAAAGTAAATAACCAAATATGCATACATTAATAGATAAAAATAAAAAAGATGTCTAAATAAAAATGCTTAAAGACAAAAATAATGTATGTATGAATAAAAAATATAAAATATATATAAACATAAAATAAAAAATGCATAAGACAAAAGTAAATAACCAAATATGCATACATTAATAAATTAAGATGTATAAAATAAAAATGCTTAAAGACAAGAATAATGTATGAATAAAAAATATAAAAGATATATAAACATAAAATAAAAAAAATAAAAATGCACAAGACAAAATAATAACCATAAATGTACAATTGATAAAAATATAAACAATATATAAAATAACCATTCAATAAAATAAATAAGTACTTAAAGGTCCCATGGCATGAAAATTTCACTATTTGTATTAATACATTAAGAGAATTAATACATTAAAAACAAAAAGATATATAAAAATGTATAAATTATATGCCACTCTTTAGAAAAAAGGCTTTAAATAATAAGCTAATAAATAGGCTGTACTCATTCATTGTAATCTGCACAAAACATTCATACATAAATCTTTTGTGTTTTGTCCAGGTGTGGCGTGGTTGGTGATTCCCAGAACATATTTGTTTGCTCATTGGGGTTGGTTGGATTTTCAGAGTTGGCGTCTTTTTGTGGTCCTCTGCTCCGTCCCCAGTCTGTCATCAGCACTTATTTTCAGACTGTTCATGCCAGAGAGCCCCAAGTTCCTCATGGAGGTGCGTACTGACTGATACTTTACCTTGTACTTTAGACTGCTATAAAAGTTCAATGAATAGGTTGTGAATTCTACAACTTCATATGAATCGGAACAAGTTCCAGCTCTAGAATTGAGTAGAACTGAGTTCTGTTACAGGCCGCATGTTTGCTAGAGTTGGTGGCACTATGCGTTTCTCTTCCACAGGCAGGACGTGAGACAGAGGCTTTGTCGGTGTTCCAGAAGATGTTCAAACTGAAAAACAGATGCGCCACAAAACAATTTCCTGTATGTACCGCCTCAATTCTAGGCCAACCTGTCCACTTATTCATAAAGGAAACTATTATTATGGTCTGTCAGCTGATAAAACAGAGTTTCTCTCAACAGGGAGCAAGTCTTATGATAAGATCCAAAGATGATGAAGTAAAAAACAGAGCCACTAGCGGCTCAAGATGTCAGCGGCTCAGCCACCAACTCAAACAGGTTCACAGCACTCTTGACACATTATTGAGATTTTGTTTATCTGCTTTCTATTAATGCTAACGTGAAGCGTTACTGAGCTCTTCATGGCCTTGCTGGTTCTTCTACAGGCTCTGGATCCCATGAAACAGCTGTTTGTTGGACCGCTGGCTTCCAGAAGTGTCGTTCTGCTGATTCTATTTTTCTGCATTTCATTTGGGTACTTAAATTATACAACTGATAAAGACAAAATATTCTGTCAATTTAAGGTGTATTATTTTCTCTAAAGTCCACTAATAATCTTAGTCAAGGTTTTTACACCCAAGTCAGTTGTAATTTAGTTTTCCACATTTTTTGCTACACTTTAATATGTAAATGAGCTCTGCTCTGATTGGCTAAACACCACACAAGCTTTTTTTGCTACTGTACCTTTAAGATTTGAATCTGTTATAACTAGTTAAGGTCATTTAAAATGCTGCAGATTATGAGCAAGTATGATTCAGTGTTGTAATCCTCTCTGTGCAGGTATTATGGGTTATGGATGTGGTTTCCGGAGCTTTTTAAGAGAGCTGAGGATGGAGGGTCTCCATGTGCCAACATGTCTCGAGTCCAAAGCTCAGAAAATGAAAGCTGCTATCCAGTCCAAACTGCAGGTTAATGTTACAAAACCAGACCAAATGAGACTAATCATTATTTTTCTCATCACAAAAAATATGAAATATGTTAGTTATACTATTAGGAAGTGTATTTTAGTTTGTTGTCATGATATTCAAGCAGTATTTATAATGGCTTTGTGTCGTTTGCATGTGTGTTTTCTAGTGTACATGGAGGGTTTCGTAACAGCGGCTTCAAACTTGCCGGGAAACATCTTCACGATCCTTCTCATGGACAGAATTGGCGGGAAAATCCTGCTTTGTTAGTAGTTTCCAATGTTTGAATTGCAGCTCAAAATACGTTATTATATTAAAAGCAACGAAATAATAAAGCGCTATAATGCTGCGGATGTTTTTTCTCTGTCCGGTAGCCGTCAGTTTGCTGGTGTCCAGCCTGAGTGTGTTTGTCATCTACATGGTAAAGACTAAAACTCAGAGTCTGATCGTGTCCTGCGTGTTCAGCGGAGTTTCTGTCGTCTCCTGGAACGCTCTGGACGTGGTGGGAACTGAACTTTATCCCACACAACTACGGTAAACCCTTACATTCATTGGTAATGTAATATTGCTACTGATTTCACATGTAAAGAGGTCAGCCAATCATAACAGAGTGGTTTAGAATATTTAAGAATATGTAATGTTTCACATAGAAGTCTCTTCTGCTTGATCAAAAATACAGTAAAAACAATAGTACTGTTAAATATTATTACAATTTAAAATAACC